GTTATGACTCTTCTATAAAACCATAAACATGCACTAAAAGCACTTACTATAAAAAAAAAAAAGTCATTAGTTTGTTAATGTTAGCGTCACAGAAGTGGAAATTAAAAAGGTATAAATTAAGACAAAGAAGTGTAAACTGTACTTACCAAGAAACTCTATAAGTTTAAGACTCTTTTGTGGCAATCTATATTCAGGCTACCGTTTGTGTTTTGTGTTTTTTTGTTTTTTTTGTTTCTCTTTTTAAAACATGTGCACTTTGTACCAAACAACCCAAGAGGTAAACAGCACCACTACACTCCATCGTGTGCATTCAACCCCTCCGTGCCAACACTGAGCCCTCTGTACAATACACCGCACACCGCAGCCCAGCCCGTACTTCCCCCACACCGGACTGGACTGGACCAGACCAGAGGGGGGGTTCCTAAAGTCCGGGTGCAGACAGGGCGTTGGACACGGGACGGGGGACCCTGCAGGACAGGAAGCCATAGTGTGCCATTACAGTGCAAGAATGGGAACAGGATATTAACCTGTTGGTAGCCATGAAATAGGAAGTCTGAGCCAAATCCTTGCTTGCTGTAAAAAAAAAAAAAAGAAATCATTTAAAAATGAGCAGAAAATAATTTTTAAATGACAAAAGTTGAGTAAACTGTATTTCTGCCTCTCTATATATGAACAAACAGATGATACATATATACTTCAACAAGATGTGAGCCTTTGAACCTCACTGACGTGATTTGAGACTATCTTTCTTATGACTAGGAGAAACTGAAGTCCTCCTAAGCCCCTCCCACTGCAGCAGACGTCACGCACAATCAAACTCATCACAGACTTCTGGGTTGTCTGAGTCGAGGTCTATTTTTAGTTGACAATGCAGAAAGAAGATCTGGTACTCAAGTTGTTTACAGAGAAGTGTTATTTTGTAAAGTTGTCACAAAAGAAACTGCAACTGTTTGTGACAAATGAAGGTGTGGTTCCTGGTCAACACYGCCACTTCCCTGCACCGTCTCCTCTGTGTACTAAACAGTCCAGTCTCCTTCCACCAGTTCTTTTRCTCRTATTTGCTGCAACAGTTGTAATGTCGTCTGTATTCTTACAGCCTTAGCCAGCAGATCCTCAGAGATCAGCTCTCAGCAGCTACTTAACATAACCAAACCCGCAAAGTTCTGACCAATCACCAATGGTGGGCACAGTTCCCCCAATCTGCTAATCCACTAATAGCGAAACTAGCTTTTCATTTAGCGGATTAGCTTTTTTTTTTTTTTTGCTAACTTTCCCTGGACTTATTACGTTCCGCTAATTTTACGTCCACTAAAAAATTCACAAGTGTAAAATTTTTATTTTATGCTATTAAACCCAAATTAAATAAAAACTACCCCCTCTTAGGAGCAGTGCTGGTCATGTCAGGCACCCTGGGTGTAGCATTCAACATCTTTGGCAGCTAAACGTCAAACTAAGAGCATCAAAAAGAAATTAAAAAAAAACATTTAACAATATTTAAATAACAAATGTGTATTAAATATAATAGAGAATGTACCCAAACATTTTCAGATTAAACCAGTAGAAAACTTGAACTGGGAGGAAAAAAATGTGCGACGCAGATGTTTTAGCGGTTAGCATTAGCTTCTGCCAATTTTTTGTATCTGTTTAGCAATAGCTGGGTTAAGATTCTTGTTTAGTGGATTAGTTAACTTTTTGGTTGGTTGTGCCCACCACTATCAGTCACACATTGACCGGCGCATACTCCAGTGAGAATTAAATAATGACGGGGGTCTCAGTGGGTGGTAAGACTGAAAAAACTATGCAATTTTTGTCACAAAACCACRTCAGTGAGAGAAGAGAATGAGGCTTCTCATTGAGCATAAATAATATTTTGCATGTGTGTGTGTGTGTCCTGTGCTGGCAAAATTATTTGTTTTTAAACCTTCAAAATGAACCTTAGTTTGTTGAAAATACATCCTTTTACATCAGTTCTTATTGGTCTGGAGTGATGTCTCTGGAAATTCAAGCACTTATATTTAAAAAGCTTCTCAATGACATTAAAACATTATACGAAAGGATTTCCCAATCAGAGAAAAATGGTCAATTTCAGACGAAATGGATCATAGGATTATTTCTGAAGACAATTCTGTTATAAAACTTTGACTCAAAGGCAGATTATGAAGATTATTTGGTATAGATGTTGTCTTCATAGACCTATTTTTACACAGTTATGACAAAAACTATATTTTCACCTCAGCCTGAGCTCATTCTGACTCATTTTGCAGCACAGGTTCACACATTTTAAATATGCAAAGAAAATATCAAGTCAAAGTTGAAGAAGAAAAAAAAGATGTTACCTCGCACTAGCTGGGAACATTTCACAACATCTGTGTGAGGATGATCAATTGTTATTTCAAAACCTGCAGCACAAACAGAACATCAGTAAAAACACAAACWTTTCTGTRAAATATCTGAACACGCAAACCAACACAGCCGCGTGGGGGTTTGTTTTGTTTGCACAAATGTCTCTTTGTGGCAATCGTGCAGTGGCTGTAGAAGGAATAATTCCACTCGTAAAAACCAACTCTGGATCTGCAGCACGTTGGCTGTAAGAGTGCTCACCCAGCGTTTGCAGCACTATTGTTTCCAGGGTTACGAGCTCTTGTGCCAGCAGCTGGAACGCCTGAAAAAAGAGGGACAAAGGCTGAAAAAAGTGGGGCTTCTGARCAACGACAGACACAAAAATCTGATGTCTACATTTCTAGAAAATGAAAATATAAAAGTAGGGTTGCAAGTTTACTACTAATGCACCATCAATATGTACTAAATCAATAATGTAAAGGATAAAATTTAATTTAAAAGTAGGAAAACCTTTTTTTTACTATTTAACAGATGTAAATTACATTTTATTTGCTAACTTTACAAGTTGTAGCCATTTAGTTTTTACCAAAATAGGATAAAAGACAAGCAAATAAAATAATTTACTACAGTTCTTTTTCTGCAGAGAACTAAATCAAGCAGGCGAGTTATAGAAGCTACTTTAAAATCTGATATTTAAAGAGACCGTTCAGTGTTGGTTCTGATTGGATCATCAGCCAGGACCTGATAATCTAATCAAGTTTGATCAAAGGCAACCCTCACTGTGGCAGCTGTTGAGTTAGAATGTAAATCATGTTAACCAGAGCAGGATGTGAGATGTTCTGGTCATGTGTTTAAAGGGGTGAACTGACGTGAAACTCCAAGATGAAACTCAAGTGCTAAAGAGGCAGAAACTAAAACCACGTCTTTCTCGTTTGACCGTTTCACAAAAACAGTTTTAGGATGAGACTTGTGGATATTCTGATCATTTTTACCCCTCTCTTTACAAATCCTGCAACCGTCTGACCCGACTGCATCGCAATGTCAGTTTATGTTTCAGGTATGTGACTACCCTGCAGCACAGAGGTCTAACAGTGGAGGTAGGGCTGCACAGTATATGCAGTAGACGATAGATATGAAGTTGGCCTACGGTAGAAATTTACCCTCTACCGTCCTGTGGTCAGTTATGTCATCACACCTGTGTCAGCAGGGCTGCGAGTGCAGAGACAACTGAGCAGGAGTTTGAAATATAATGAAGAAATTATAGTGTTTTAAAACACGTATAGAGAGAATAAATCCTCAAAATTTCCCCCTCCTGCTGTAGAAAAGTTACGTCAGGATCACCCCACCACCACCACCACCCCTGGACTCTCCCGCTGCACGTCGCGCAGAGCGAAGCTTTGACAACCGTAGTTTTTTCACACCCAAGTTTTCGGAGAAGAAAAATGTTTTTTATGTATTGTTACCCACAGAGATGATAAAAAAGATGTGGACGTTTGTCCAATCATAAACCCATCTTGCTAATGTAAAATCGGCTTCTCATCTGATGATGAAGATGAGAGCGCAGCAGAGCAGCAGCTGATAAGTTCAGCAGGCAGAAGCTCATTGTTTGGCAGGCAGATATTCAAGCAAAAACGCTGTTTGATTATTAGTTTTCTGCAAAAAAAAGGCTATAAATTACATTTCTTTGCTTTTTAATAGTGCTGGGCAGTATATCGTTTTGTACCGAATACCAGTTTTTATTTCTGTTATGATGTGAATTTTCTGCATATCAACATTCCGGTTTAAATAGCCTGAACACGTGCGGAACATTTTGTCGCGGCCGCCAGTGAACTGTTTCCCGGGGGACACTTTTCCTCGCAGCACCGCTATGTGCGTTAGCATGCTAATGTTATTGTTGAGCAGTCTGTTGCAGCAGCAGGTGCCAATTCCGCTGCTTATATTGACTGACGTTACAAAAAAACTTTGCCGTTGCTGAATGTAGTAAACACCTCTTCAGTGACGTGCACAGTTAGATTTAACGCGATTAGTTAATATGGAGACKTTATGCTGATGGAGACTTAACGTGCTTCTATTGTGAAAAGCTGCAGGAAGTAGTTCGTAGTGGAGTTGAGTTGACTGGTGTGCAAGATGAGTTGTCCTGTTAATCTTTATTAAATAACATAAAACAATAAACCCGATAATAATCTTTTCTTAACCCTCCTCCTTCATGACTGGACCAAAATGTGTGACTACTGTCTCCAACCACCAGAGAAAAGACAGACAGAGGTAAGGTAAAAGAAAAAAAGTCAATAAGCAGTTTTTGTACATTTTATTATCAGCTGGCCTGTGATGAAAAGAAAAATACAGTGAAACCGGTGTAAATGTTGAAAATACTGTGATTTAAAATTTGGGTCATACCGCCCAGCTCTACTTTTTATGATAATTTTCTACCGCCATATATACCGTTACCGTGAAGGAATGTAATTTATACCATGATATGAATTGGAGGTCATACCGCCCAGCCCCAAGTGGAGTTAACTACAACCCTCCACACCGCCTCAGTCCTCCTCTAGACCACTGAAGACAAGAAGGTGACGTCAAGCCCGAGCCCTTAAAATCAGCCAAAAATATGTGCTTTACTGTCGTGGAAACAATTCAACACAACAGTCTGGAATCTTGGACTTAGATAGTGTGTTCAAAATGACTATCATTAAAAACGATTATGTAACAACCTAATATGCAGTGTTGCAGGCCACACTACAATAGGCAGATATCTGGATCGATCTATATCCAGGTAGGAGTGATGAAACGAGACACGACCGTTCAGACTGAGGTCGCTTTATGACCACAGGTGAAAAAGACCTGGGTCAGATTACAATTATAGATAAATTAATCAGATTTGTGTTGCTTCCGCCTGCAGTGTGAACGTAGCACAAGACCACTTGTTAACATGTCAACCAAACCCACGTGTGAGCATTAAGGCCAGTGTTAACCTTGTTTACAGGACTTCATGTCGGCACATAAATACATGAAAAGTCAGACAAGTCGTCAGGACTTAAATGACTCAGTCAGCTGTCATCACACAACCTGTTCTGCTTGTGTCTCTATTCGGACTGTTTATTGTAAATGTTTCTGTGTGGACATTATGTAACASGAGGAGGAGGAGGGGAGAGGGTGAGCCTCGAAGTCACATCTTAGTTGTTAGAATGGAGCTGATCTCCAGATCACGGCGTAGGAATGGGATGAAATCAGAGCCCCGGTGAAAATCAATGGGTTTACTCACGCTGCTTTTAGTGTCGAGGACCGGCTCCTGGGGGTTAATGAAGGCATGRGCTATTTTAATGACGTGTTCCAGCTTCCTGGGCTGCTCCTCAACTTTGGCTGCCAGGAATAACGTGGTCTGGGAAATGATCTGTTCCAGGGCAGGGAGGAAGAGCAGGGTAACTCGGTTTAAAGCCACACACACAAGTCGTGTCATATGAGGATTTCACAAGCATACTCACATTTCTGTGGAATTTGGTGAAAGAGTGGATCATATAAAACCTATGCATGTAAACTATAGCGGTGTTGATGATGAGTTGAGACCTGGAGGAAGAGTTAAGGACAAAAACCGGAAAGCTTTCGATAATTTCGGGTGAACAGCTAGCATCATCATGTGGATAAAACCCTAATTATCAACGCTGTACCTTTAAATCACTCATAAGTTTGAATATTTTAGCGTTTTGTGGGAGTTAAATATAGATTTGAATGCTGATTGAGGTCTTTTATGTAAACAGAAAGCTAACAATTAGCTGGAAATCAAACAATAGCTAAGTTAGCATGTGAGGCTAAGCTAATAAACATYAATGTATTTCAGATCTTTCTGATCTTATTATTAATTACAAAGTGTATATTTTACCTATTTAAAATGGTGTTTAATTTAAGATAAGCCCCGCTTTGTCAGCCCGGTGTGAGCTAAATCGCAGCTAACCGGTTAGCTGTGTCACAAAGAGGATACACGTTCAGTCGCTGGCCGATGTCCTGGATCAGGTTGGCGGCCTGCTGTCGGTAGGAGAGCTCCCTGTCGGCCTCGATCCCGCAGCGTCGGGACGGCGTGTTGTCCAGCTGCTCCCGGGTGAAAAGCCATTTCGTGGAGGGTCCCCGGTGCACCGCCATTACGCTTCCGCAGCCGAGCCCCCGACGGTGTTAGGGTTAGCACCGGCCGGGGAAGGAGCAGAGCCGATGGAAGCCGACAGCGGCACCGGAACAACGAGACGCCTGGCTGACACCGGTTGTCAGGTCTGAGGAGGAGCGCCCCCGAGCGGCCGGAGGAGAAACATGTTTATTTTTTTTAATAAACCCTATTTTTAAATTATTCTTTATACCATGAAGGCAAATATTTGAGTCTACAACAAAATATATTAAACTTTATGAAGTTTATCAACATTTACAATGGTAATATATTTAAACATTAACAAATGTGACTACTTTTAAATTCATATGAAAATATGAAAAATGTTTAGGAGCTGAAAAGGAAAAAAAATTGTATAGGTCTTCTGGACAGGTTCTTCTTTAATGAAACGTTTCGTCTCTCTTCCAAGAGACTTCTTCAGTCTGAGAGTTTCAGGCAAAATTCAGGCTTTAAGTACTGCCTCCATGTGACTGATACTCACATCACATGGCTATCGTTCACACCTAATTAACACCTATTGTTAACAGGGGTGGAGTGATACTGGCAAT